ACAGACTCTTTGGGTAGAAGCCAGAGATCCGAAGCTAAATACCATCCATTCTGCTCAGCCTTGCATTATTACTTACCTCCTGAATAAACAAAATAAATAAATAAATGAATAAATGAATAAATAAATAGACATGTACCACGCATAACCTTTGCACACCTGTAACACTGAAGAACCAAGCAGAGCTCTCAGGCCACACCCATCTCAAGCCTCCAAGGCTCCTCCAACAGCAGGCAGTCTACTTAACATAGACATAGTATATAAAAAAAAAACACCTCACAGTGAGGGAAAAAGAATTAACCATGCAAAGCAATAAACACAGAAATCGAGGGAACAAGATCAACGATGACACTATGATGCCTCCAAATAAACAAAACACCCCAAGCCAAGATTATGAAGATGATGAGATAGAAGAAATGCAAGATGCGGATTTCAAAAAATTTATGATAAGAACATTTAGAAGTTTTCAAAAGCAAATCCTTGAACTACAGAAATCCTTATTGGACAGGATTGAAAATCTCTCTCGTGAAAATGAAATTTTAAGGAAGAATCAAAATGAAATGCAGAAACTAGTAGAACAGGAAAGTGTGATAGTGAAGAGAAATCAAAATGAAATGAAGAGCTCAATAGATCAAATGACAAACACATTAGAGAGCCTTAAAAACAGAATGGGTGAAGCAGAAGAGAGAATATCGGACATAGAAGACAGAGAACAGGAAAGGATACAGTCAAACCAAAGAAAAGAAGAGGAAATTAGAAATCTAAAAAATATTGTTGGGAATCTACAGGATACTATTAAAAAAACCAACATTCGGGTTCTAGGAGTTCCTGAAGGCATGGAGAGAGAGAAAGGATTAGAAGGCCTTTTTAGTGAGATACTAGCAGGGAACTTTCCAGGTTTGGAGAAGGACAGAGACATCCTAGTACAGGAAGCTCATAGAACCCCTAATAAACACGACCAAAAGAGATCCTCACCATGACACGTTGTAATTAAACTCTCCACAGTGAAACATAAAGCAAAGATCCTAAAATTTGCAAGAGAGAAATGTCAGATTACTCTCAGAGGATCTCCAATCAGACTCACAGCAGACTTCTCATCAGAAACACTACAGGCTAGGAGGGAATGGCGAGACATAGCACAGGTGCTAAGAGAGAAAAATTGCCAGCCCAGAATATTATATCCTGCTAAGCTCTCCTTTGTGAATGAAGGGGAAATAAAGACCTTTCAAAGCAAACAGAAATTGAAAGATTTTGCCGCCACCCACTCGTCCAGCCCTGCAAAAGATACTTAAAGATGTGCTACACTCAGAAACACAGAAACACGGCCATCAATATGAAAGAAGGTAAAGGAAGAACACCTACCAGTAAAAGAGCATGGGAAACTCAAAGCATATACTCGAAAATATCTCCAGGAAAATGGCAGGGCAAAGTCACTATGTATCAATAGTCACATTAAACGAGAGTGGCCTGAACTGTCCAGTTAAAAGACACAGACTAGCTGACTGGCTTAAGGAACAACACCCAACTATTTGTTGCCTACAAGAAACACATCTCTCTAACAAAGATGCATGCAGACTGAAAGTGAAAGGTTGGAAAAAGATATTCCATGCCAACAAAAACCAAAAAAAAAGCAGGTGTAGCCATATTAATATCAGACAAAATAAACATTAATACAAAAACTGTTAAGAGAGACAAAGAGGGACACTATATAATGATTAAGGGAATGATTCAACAGGAAGATGTAACTATTATAAATGTATATGCACCTAATTACAGGGCACCGGTCTGTTCAAAAGATATGTTAAGGGACTTAAAGGGAGACTTAGATTCCAATACAATAGTACTGGGGGACTTCAATACTCCACTTTCAGAAATAGATAGATCATCCGGACAGAAGATCAACAAGGAAACAGCAGATTTAATCGACACTATTGCCCAAATGGATCTAACAGATATCTACAGAACATTCAATCCTACATCTAAAGACTTCACATTCTTCTCAGCAGTGCATGGAACCTTCTCTAGGATTGATCACATACTAGGTCATAAAGCAAGTCTCAGCAAATTTAAAAGAATTAGAATCATACCATGCAGCTTCTCAGACCACAGCGGAATGAAGCTAGAAATTAGCAACTCAGGAAACCCCAGAAAGTATGCAAACACATGGAGACTGAACAACATGCTCCTGAATAAACACTGGGTCATTCAAGAAATCAAAAGAGAAATCAGAAACTTTCTGGAAGTAAATGAGGATAACAACACAACATATCAAAACTTATGGGATACAGCAAAAGCAGTATTGAGAGGCAAGTTTATAGCAATACATGCCTATATCAAGAAATTGGAAAGGTACCAAATAAATGAGCTTTCAGAACATCTCAAGGACCTAGAAAAACTGCAGCAAACCAGACCCAAATCAAGTAGGAGAAGAGAAATAATTAAAATCAGAGAAGAAATTAACAGGATTGAATCCAAAAAATCATTACAAAAAATCATCCAAGCGAAGAGCTGGTTTTTTGAAAAAATAAACAAAATTGACACCACATTGGCCCAACTAACTAAAAAAAGAAGAGAAAAGACCCAAATCAATGAAATCAGAGATGAAAAAGGAAACGTAACAACAGAAACCACAGAAATAAAAAGAATTATCAGAAATTACTACAACGACTTGTATGCCAGCAAACAAGAAAATCTATCAGAAATGGAAAGATTCCTGGACACATGCAATCTACCTAAATTGAACCATGAAGAAATAGAAAACCTAAATAGATCCATAACTGAAACAGAAATTGAAACAGTAATTAAGGCCCTCCCAACAAAGAAAAGTCCGGGACCAGATGGATTCACTGCTGAATTCTACCAGACATTTAAAGAAGAACTAATCCCATTTCTTCTCAAACTATTCAGAACAATCGAAAAAGATGGAATCCTCCCAAATTCTTTCTATGAAGCCAGCATCACCTTAATCCCTAAGCCAGAGAAAGATGCAGCACTGAAAGAGAATTACAGACCAATATCCCTGATGAACATAGACGCAAAAATCCTCAATAAAATTCTCGCCAATAGAATACAACAACACATCAGAAAAATCATCCACCAAGACCAAGTGGGATTTATCCCTGGTATGGAGGGATGGTTCAACATTCGCAAATCAATCAATGTGATTCACCACATTAACAGACTGCAGAAGAAAAACCATATGATTATCTCAATAGATGCAGAGAAAGCATTCGATAAAATTCAACACCCTTTCATGATGAAAACTCTAAGCAAATTGGCTATAGAAGGAACATTCCTCAATATAAGCAAGCAATTTATGAAAAACACACGGCCAGCATCCTATTGAATGGAGAAAAGTTGGAAGCATTTCCACTGAGATCTGGCACCAGACAGGGATGCCCACTCTCACCACTGCTATTTAACATAGTTCTGGAAGTTTTAGCCAGAGCCATCAGACAAGAAAAAGAAATTAAAGGAATACAAATTGAGAAGGAAGAAGCCAAACTATCCCTCTTTGCAGATGATATGATTCTTTACCTAGAGGATCCAAAGAACTCTACTAAGAGACTATTAGAACTCATAGAGGAGTTTGGCAAAGTGGCAGGATATAAAATCAATGCACAAAAATCAACAGTCTTTGTATACACAATCAATGCCATGGCTGAGAAAGAACTGCTAAGATCAATCCCATTCACAATAGCTACAAAAACAATCACATACCTTGGAATAAACTTAACCAAGGATGTTAAAGATCTCTACTATGAGAATTACAAAATCCTAAAGAAAGAAATAGAAGAGGATACCAAAAAATGGAAAAATCTTCCATGCTCATGGATTGGAAGAATAAACATCATCAAAATGTCCATTCTCCCAAAAGCAATTTATAGATTCAATGCGATACCAATCAAGATACCAAAGACATTCTTCGCAGATCTAGAAAAAATGATGCTGAAATTCATATGGAGGCACAAGAGACCTCGAATAGCTAAAGCAATCTTGTGCAACAAAAACAAAGCCGGAGGCATCACAATACCAGATTTCAGGACATACTACAGGGCAGTTGTAATCAAAACAGCATGGTACTGGTACAGAAACAAATGGATACACCAATCGAACAGAATTGAAACAATTCTGTTCCAGAAATCAACCCAAACATCTACAGCCAACTTATATTTGATCAAGGGCTTCTGGGGCAGCCGGGAGGGGCGGGACACTCGGGCTTCCTGGGCCAGCAGCCGCCGGGTCGCAGGAGCGCCCTCTTCAGGCAGGGAGCTGTGGTGCCGTGTTCCCGCTGTCCCGCATCACTGCTCAGGCGCAGAGAACTCCCCGCGCCACCTCAGGATGCTCAGCCGCTGACCAGCTTGGGGACCGCCCCCAGGGCTGGCCGCCTTTGCACAGTCGCCAGCGTTCCTTTCTGATTGGTTGGTTGGTGCCTTCCACGGTACCCAATGGAGGTGAGCCTCTCAGGAGACCTCATTTGAATAGCAGGACTGGGGCTGCTGTGTTGTTCCTGTGGTTATGTTCTGATGCGGAGGGCTGTCACCTGCAGGGTGTCCAGCGCACCAGGCTTGACCTTCAGGACAAGAAGATGCCTTGGAGAGGGCGGGCGCCGCGGCTCACCAGGCTAATCCTCCACCTTGCGGCGCCGGCACACCAGGTTCTAGTCCCGGTCGGGGTGCCGGATTCTGTCCCGGTTGCCCCTCTTCCAGGCCAGCTCTCTGCTATGGCCTGGGCGTGCAGTGGAGGATGGCCCAAGTGCTTGGGCCCCTGCACCCCATGGGAGACCAGGAGAAGCACCTGGCTCCTGCCTTCAGATCAGCGCGGTGCACCGGCCACAGCACGCCAGCTGTGGTGGCCATTGGAGGGTGAACCAACGGCAAAGGAAGACCTTTGTCTCTGTCTCTCTTTCTCACTGTCCACTCTACCTGTAAAAAAAAAAAAAAAAGATGCTGTGGAGAGGCCCGAGGGAAGAAAGGGCCGGCACACGGACACGAGGGCTCCAGGTGCCGGGCGGGTCCGCCTCCCGCCTGGAGAACGTCCCTGGTCCCCGGTGCCCGGTGCCGCACGTCGCGTCGCCATCCCCGCGCTGCCCCTGAGGCCCGGTGAGTCCTGTGGTCAGCGTCTGTGGGGGCGTCGCGGGGTGGGGGTCGTGACCGGAGGCCCGGGACGCTCTCCCGGGGGTGGGAGCCGGGAGGAAGCCTCCAGGACGCTGGGAGTGTGCGTGTCGGGGACTCGGTGCTGCTCGGGGGGCGGCTGGTCTGCTGGGTGTCCTGCTGCAGGTGCTGCCGGGGCGGTAAGTTCCTGAAGTTGGAATAGAGGGAGGATTTTTTTTAAATCTTCGGTCATGGTTAAATTCCACGTGAGAACTGCCATTAAGATTGTGAGTGTGTGTGTGTGTGTGTGTGTGGTGTATTGTGTAAGGTTTCCTTGCAAAGTGCGGAATCGTGTTACGTCTTGGGCGATGGTTTTTAGGGTGAATAGTATTCATATTTAGGGCGTGTTCTTGCGGTGTTGTTGCGGTGTTGGTTTGTATAACTGCCTTGTCTACTGAAGGGTGTCCTGTAACTTGGGGGTCACGTGTTGGCGTTTTGGGTGCCTTCCAGTTGGCCGGGTGTGTAGAATGATGTGAAGAGTGGGTGGTGATAAGGTGGAAATTGTTACTGGGTTTTAGAATGCAGAAGATGGAGTGACTTGAGGTTGAGGAATTGGCCTTTGTGGTTGTCCAGCTGTGGTGTCCTAGTGATGAAAGTTGGTTAATGTGGGTGCTGGCGCGGTTGATTGGTCATCGTTACACTTTTATTTTTTTTACTTGATTTTTTAAAATTTTTACTTGAAAATTTTTTTTTAGTTTATCAATTTTTTTTTGTTTTTGAGGTAGCATTCTTGGTTCCCATTGTGGTCAAAGGCTTAGTGCTGCACCAAGTGAAGAGTTCAACAAGTACAGAGTGAAAAGACTGTAGCTGAGCAGGAGTAGGCAAGGGCTGTAAATGGTCATCAGATGAAAAGGTTCTCAAATTCACTCCTCAATTTTAAAAGTCACGGAATCATTAAAACTATAGTAGTGTCTAATTCTTAACTATGACAGAGGTTGTACCAGAGTTTGTGGGGCCAGTACTATGGTAAACAGTAAAGCAGGTAAAGCTGTCACCTGCAGTGCCAGGATTCCATTTGGGCAGTGGTTTGAGTCCTGACTGCTGCACATCCAATTTTTGTTCTAAAGTTTAGCACCTGCATGTAGGAGAGAACATGCAGTATTTTTCTGTGTTCAGCTTATTTCACTCAACATGATGTCCTCCCCTTGCAGCCTTTTTAAAAAAAATTATTCATTTGAAATACAGAGTTGGGGCTGGGAGAGAGAGGCAGACAGACAGACAGACACAGATCTATCTTCTGGTTCACTACCCAATGGCCACAATGCCCAGGACTGGGCCAGTCCAAAATCAGGACCAGGCCCTTCACCCGACTCTCCATGTGGGTTTAAGATCCCAAGCACCTGGGCCATCCTCTGCTGCTTTCCTAGGTGCATTAGCAGGTTGTGGACTGAAAGTGGAGCAACTGGGATCTGAACTGGTACTCATATGGTGTGCTGATGTTGCAGACAGCAACTGCACTGCTCCACTATGCTACAACATTGGTCCAGCTACTCTTTCTTTATGCATTTGTCTGATGATGGACACCTTGGGCGACTGGGTATTTTGGCTATTGTGAACACTGTTATAAACATGGTGGGCACGTCTTTGACACAGTGTGCTCATATCTGTTGGGTATGTACCCAGTTGTGCTATTGCTGGATCATATGGCAGATCTATTTCTGGTTTTTTAAATAAATATGTATAGTGTTTTCTACAGTGGCTGCTGTAATTTACATTCACACTTAACAGTGTGTAGGAGTTTTCCTTTCTTCATGTCTTTGCCAGCATTTGTTGCTCTTTTGGATAATAGCCATCTGACAAGAGTGAGGTGAAATCTTATCATAGTTGATTTTTTTTTTGGAAAGATTTATTTATTTATTTGAAAGAGTTACAGAGAGGCAGAGAGAGAGAGGTCTTCTATCCAATGATTCACTCTCCAGATGGCGATAAAGGTCAGAACTGCGCTGATCTAAAGCCAGGTGCTTCTTCCCGAACTTCCATGTGGGTGCAGGTGCCCAAGGACTTGGACCTTTTGCTGCTGCTTTCCCAGGCCATAGCAGAAAGCTTGATGAAGTGGAACATCTGGGAGTTGAACCGGCGTCCATATGGGATGCCGGCACCATAGGTGGCGGCTTTAGCAGCTATGGCACAGAGCCGGCCCCTTATCATAGTTTTGGTTTGTTCTCCTGCGAGGCCCGCAGTGCTGGGATGATGGAGTGACAGCATTCTTCAAGAAGCACTGGAGACAAGTTTTGATGAACTTGTCTGTTTATTAACAATCAATCTCAAGCTTTTAAAGGGCAGGCAGAGGTGTCGTAGCTAATTCAGGGCAACACTAATTCTGTAGGGTAAAGCTGATGTGATATAAGGTAAAGCTGTGCTTCTCCAATCAGCTTGAAAGTCATGTAGCCTTTGTAGACTCCCAGGTGGTCCTGATGGGCCTGGGCCACACCAGGGAGCTGCTTACCTGATTGGCAATTACAAGGCCCTTGAACAGAAAGTGTGGGGTGGGGGAATGTGCCTGGGGCTCCTGCCACCTGCCAGCAGTCAGGTCATAGGGTCCTTCCTGGGAGGCATGGTGTGCCATGCCCTCTTAACCTCCTGCATGGGCTAGGCAGGCAGTCTCCCAGCCAGGCACAGGGCCACACTCCTAATGATATTGAGCATTGTTTTCATATATTTTTGGCTATTTGTATTTCTTCTTTTTAAGAACTGTCTATCCAGGTCCTCTGCTCATTCCTTAACTGAAATGGTTATTTTTCTGTTCTTCAGTCTTTTATTGTTATTATCTTTATTGTTACTGAAATTAATGAGGAATTAGATAGATTAGATAGCTACTTATGTGGTTAACAGGGGAAATTAGGAAAGAGGAAATATTGTTCACCAAAGATTTTTTTTAGAATCTTTATTTGGAAGTGGGAAATATTTGGGAGTCACTTTCTTCAGTTATATTATATACAATAAAAGTGATTTTTTGGCTTGTTGAAATACTGAAATGTGATAGGTAGTGCATAATTGTCGGGAAGAACTGCACATAATTAGAGAACATGAATGCGTGAGAGTAATATTTGATTTCGGGAATGTTGGTTCGTTGTATTGCTGTGGTCCTAAAATGCTTATGATGGGAGCTGATAGTTTTGTGTAAAATGTTAAGTTATTTGGTAGATGGCTACAGGAGTGATATTGTGGGAGATGAGGAAGCCTGCAGAAAACCCTCCCAATTGCAAGGCATCTGACTGAGTTAATTAGGAACGGGTCATTATAAATAAATTGGATCTGAGAATCAGGGATGTGTCAACAATGCATAGAAAGTGCTGTGAGTGCTGTGGACAGATGGTCAGGAGGGGGCAATGCATGTGATTAAGAAGCTTCAGGTGGTGGTTTAGGATGTGTTTGTGGGTTGAATGATTGAGTCTTTAGAGTAGAAGCCATTCAGGAGAGGAATGCCTATTAGTGCAAGGCTATCAATAATAAGAGATGAATTATTTCTGTGTTTCAGATATTCTGTCATTGTTAAGGTTGTGGGTCTTATCTCTGGAGCTTATAAATAATACAGCTTCGAGGAATGGGTGTGTACAGATCTGTAGAAATGATAGGCATGACTGGTTAATGCCAGTGGTAACCATTTTTTAAACTGAGGGGTTTCAGTTTTATTCACCTACCACATATATTAACGATTAACTGGAACCACCTGGAAATATGTAGTTACAGGGTGTTCTTGCAGAGTAGTTAGAAATAGAAGCTGTGAAAGCAAGCTGATCTGCGTTAGAATCCTAACTTTCATTTTTCAGCCTCAGGTCTTAAGCTTGGGCGAGGCAGTTAACCACAGAGAATTCTAGAACTGTTAAAGGAGCATGACTCCTAAATGTAATTATAGCTGATGTGGGGCTAATGAATGTTAAGACTAGTGTGGCTAAACCAAGAAGGTGTAACAAGAAGTGGCCCACTGTAATATTGACTGTTAATTAGATGGCTAAGACTGTGTGTTGAATAAATAGAGTAGTAATACAGGAGTAAGTGGGACTGGTGTGCCCTGAGGGAATTAATGGGCTGTTGATGCTTTTGTTTTATTGCAGAAACAAGTAATTTCTGCTCCAGCTTATGGTGGTATAGCTATTTCTAAATTTATTGATAATTAGGTTGTGGGTGTAAATGATGGAGGTAACAGTGTTGGTAGACTTGTTGAAGCAATGAATATAGTGAGTGAGTAGTATTAGAGGTCCGATTCATCTTTAATGTTGTGTATCGTCTTTAAGAATGAGTTGCGTTAGTTATTGTTGAATGGAGACTGATTGCTCTATAGGAGGTTGGGGGAGGGGAATAAAATATTAGGGAATAAGATATTGAGAATTACAAGGGCTAATATTGTTGGAGCAATGAAAGGAGCAAATAAGGTTTTGCTTGTTCTAATGGAATTTCATTTTGTGATGATGCAATCACTTTTGGTGTAGACTTAATAGTGTAGGTATATTTGGAGAACTTCAGTTGGAAGAAAATGAATAGTGCTGCCTAACAATCTTTGGGATAATAGGGAGAGATCATTTTGATATATCTAATTGTGGCATTTCATTTTGGGGATTGCTCTCAGTCTTTAAAAAAGTTAATGCTAATTAGCTACATAATGATGATATGACAAAGGTATTGATCAGTTTTTTTTTTTTTGGACAGGCAGAGTGGACAGTGAGAGAGAGAGACAGAGAGAGAAAGGTCTTCCTTTTGCCGTTGGTTCACCCTCCAATGGCCGCCATGGCCGGTGCGCTGCGGCCAGCGCAACGCACTGATCCGTAGGCAGGAGCCAGGTGCTTCTCCTGGTCTCCTATGGGGTGCAGGGCCCAAGCACTTGGGCCATCCTCCATTGCACTTCCTAGCCACAGCAGAGAGCTGGCCTGGAAGAGGGGCAACCGGGACAGAATCTGGCACCCCGAACGGACTAGAACCCGGTGTGCTGGTGCCCCAAGGCAGAGGATTAG